TATGATTCAGAGGTTGCCAAATCCTCCTGTCTTGTTTATCAGACCAGCAAGATCTTTGAAAAAAATAATGCATTTAATTTGGCTCTGGTATAAGCAGGTGCAAGTCCCTGTGAAGTCAATTTAGCAGCTATAAAGTACACCTAATCTGAGCTTAGAGAAAAAAAGATATAAAAGATCCTCAAGCAGTACAACTGAAGAAGCAGGAAATAATTCATATTAACTACTGTAGAGCATCTCCCTAACTGAAAAAATGAACAATTCCTCACCTACGTGAGTATAAAAATATTCATCAGCCTATCCTAATTCAGTAGTTACCTTGCAGTCTATGCTGGTGTGTCCCATATCCTTACTATTATTCCATGTGACTAGCTGAATGAATCCCTTAGGATTCAGGATGTGGCTGAAAATTGGAATTAATTGAATGATGTCTTATGGAGGGAGGGAGGGAAGGAAGCAGGGAAGTATTCCCATTAAAGGACTTTCTGTATTTGGTAAACAAATCAAAATGCAAAGTGACGCAGAGCTCTTTCACCTACTGGAAAAATATTTGGCTCTGCCTCAAGTGCAAATACCTATACAGGTCACCACCTTTTGAAGCTACCCACTGGTATAAGCAAGAAAAGAGGATATGCATTTGTCTACTACCAGAAACCCTTGGGCAATACTGAGCCACTGTGAAGACGTGTATCTAGGGTGCTATGTCTGCTTTGGATAGGGGAAGATTTATTATGGGCTCAGGCCGAATTGTCCTGTGCACAAAACAAATCAAGGCCCTCGCCTTATATTTTCAGGGTGATGGGCACCAGAGCATCTATTGCTTTCAAAAGAGGCTACAAGTACTCAGCACCTCTGACAAACAGCATGCTTCCTAAGGGACGTTCTGAACAATACAGGGAATGTTAGGTTAGCAAAGACTCTGTATATGGTCTGTAAAGGGGCTCTTTTTTTTATGTTGCCTCGATCACTTGGAATGAACGGACAGTCCGCATCTTCCCAGCCCTGTCAATGGACAAATTCTTGTGAACCTCTGGATTAGAACAGCCAATGCTGCCTTTTCTTAGAAGTTTAACAAGTCCCTTTGTGAATGCCAGAAATAATTACGTCTGATTTCCTGGGGACTGTGTCATATAGCTGTGTCTTGCATGAATGAAAGTGCTAGCTCTGGAAGAAAACTTCCTGCAAATGGGACAGGTACGTAAGCGCCCGTCCCGTGTAGGTTATTGGTCGTGTAGTAAGAGTTGAGCTTGCTACTGTGATGGTATGATAATAAGTATAGAGTGATAATAAGGTTATTCTATTCTAGCTGGCTGCCTGTATTTTTGAAAAGTTTTTCTTTGAGGCCAGTACTGCTCTGCTAAAGGTGGATGAAGTCAGTTCAAATGTTAACAGGACACACAAACAACTTAAAACTCCCTGTACAAAAGCAGGTTCAAAATGCTAGACAGCAGCTTTATTAACTTTCCCTTTGAACTGTCTATAACCAGTCAGCTACGTCCAGATCACGCACAGAAAGCTTACTGTGACCTACATAGACTTGGAAGGTGAAGTTTTAATGCAGCGACTGCCAAAGAGCCTTGTGCCTCTGTGGAATGTAACTCACCATAAATGCACCAGTTTCTTGTTGACCTTCAGCATCTCTCCAAAACTCATTGCTGCCTCATCATCCAAGTCATTTTTAGTCAACCTAAGTGGGCGAGAATATGTTAACTTTGGATGTCATCGTTATTTTACAACTCCCTGTTTTTCCAGCTTGTCTGTGATTTAACTTTAGATAGCCAAAACGGGACGTGCTGTTCCCACCCTAAGCAATTTCTAAAGGCTGGACACAAAGAGGCACTAAAGAAAGGGAAGCCCTGGAGGTAAGAGAAACAAGAACACTGGATCTTTATTTCTCAGAGCAGTGATCTAATGATGCTTTCGCACATCGTTAAGGTGACTAAAAGGTGGACAAAATGTGGAGGAAAAGGTGTTCAGTGGTAGAGACAGCACTGAAGAGGTGTGAAAACTGTGCGAACAAAGAAAGAACTTGATTTCACAGGATGGAAGTGAGAGAAGATGGGGAACACAAGGAGTAGGAAACAGAAAGAAGCATGAACCATCTAGTGCAGGTAGGGCTGCACAAGGCGAACTGAGAAGCCCATGGTCAACACTGTACAAGACAAAAGCAGAGTCAGATGGATTAAATCATTGCATCAGGAGTCATAAATTCCCTTCCAGACCGCTGCACCCTCACTGGACACAGGCTTAAGGTCTGCAGCTGTAAAGTCTGTGAGCCACTGTGTGAAGGGCATGGTCTGCTCCCCTGTCAATACTGGAGGGCACCAAAGCTAGAACTGGCTGCACCTGAACACACTCAGTGCAGACGGAAAGGCATCCTATAGTAGCGTACCACAGCCTGTAGGAATGTAAGGAGTCCACATCGCAGAGGCACCTTCCCATAGCATCACTGGCAAACATGCCCATGATCCTACAAGCAGGAAAGCTATCAGCTTTGCAAGCTCTCTGAGAGTCTGCTCACCTCCTGCTCCTCCCTTGACAGAGATGCAGCACCCTGGTACCCTTGCATTTCCAGCATGTGGGGCTGTTCCAAGTTTGCCCAACTCCTGACCCATGAGAGAAATAATTAACAGCACCTTCTCCTCCTCTTCCCTCTGGCGACCCCCTGGTTACTGCCTTTTCTAATTTCACCCTCTTTCTTCCTGATACAGTCAAAGCGGAAATCTTTCCAGCAAGTACTTTGCCTGTTTCTGTTCAGAATCAGGTACTTCTCGATCTCCCCAGCAAAATGAAGACGTGGTTATAGCACAGTGACTGACTGCCAAGTGAATATGGAAGGGGTGGCACACGCTTTGCTGTACAGAGTCTCTGAGGACTCCAGGAAGGTGCAGAGTGCTGGTTTACACTGAAATCTGTGCCGCTGCATTAGTTATGATGGTTAAAGCTTCCAGCTTTCATGTTACAGTCTTCTTTTCGGATAGGAGATGGGGATATGTCCTAAAGGACATACGTAGCTGCTCTATCAGTCGCGTCCACATTCTTCCCAAAGCGATGCATCTTGCACCTTGCTGGTAGTGAAAGAATAGGGGATGGATGGAAGGAGAGAAGGAGGAGGGGAGAGGAGGATGACATGGGTTTAGAGGAAGTAAAATTAGGCTGATGCTTTAGAGGAGGAAGAGGAGAAGGAGGGCGCAATACCGATTACCAGAATATTTTCACAGAGTTGTTGTGCTGCATAGCTTCAGCAATACTTTTGCCGCCCTCTGTTGTGATGCCGTTGAATGCGAGACTGTGAAGTAAACAGCAGACAGCAAATTGTAAGAAATAGCCAACATGACTTGGTCCTTCCATTGTCCCAAATACTAATGAATATCCTAGATGATCTCCACCACAGTTGTATGGTTCAGCATGTGGGTGTTTCAAAGGCTCACATACTTTGCAAACCAGTAAGTCCTTACGATTTTTACAAGTGAGAACAGTTCGCAGGCTGCAGCCTGAGTCTATCACACAGGCTGTAAGGTTTGCCATCAATGAGTTGTACTCATGGGACTGAAAGCAGAGTGGCCATCAGTAATTTTGAGAGTTGTGGCTTTTAATAAGGAGAGGGAGTTGTGTTCAGCAGTATACAGGTTTGCACATGCATTTATCATCCCATCTCCCCATACAAACTGGGCACTTTGTCCTTCAGGTGGAGAGTTCAGACTCCTAAATACCTCATTCATCTTCCAGCCACAACGCCTGCTATTATATATGGGGAGATGAGCTTGTAAATGCATGCTTTCCATTGCAAATCACAAACGTTTCCTGGTCTGACCTTCATTCTTTGAATAGGCAGTGGCAAAAACATCCAGTTAAAGTTATGCTCCAGGCTTTGAGAGTTCAAAAAGCAGTTTCCTCTTTAGAAGCCAGGCCAGAGCCTGAAAATAGTGCAAGAAAAAAGCAGAAAGGGGGGTCAAGTGGGGCAAAGGCTTGTCTAACTATGGCACAAGTATGTGTTAGCACAAGTCTCTGCTAACTTCAGCAGAAACTAGAGATTCTCTGTCCCTCGTGACTGTGCCTAAAAATGGCAAACATGCTAAAACTAACTGACACAACAGGGACTATCTTCCCTTAATCTTTGCATAAAGCTGCCACTGGTGCAAACTATGCATTCAAGTCATGAAGCAAGATTAACCAGCAGAAGATAAGGAGTGAACTCAAGTGCAAGTACGCTGCAGAGCAAAAGATTCACCCTGCACCAGGCACCAGCAAAACCTGGCTCTAGCCAGTACAGTTACCCCTCCTTATTATTACAAGTACATTCACCAGTGTATTTGTTGCAGGCTGAGATCCCAGGCATAACCCAGCTCTGATTCAGGTTCAAAATATTTTCTTTCAAGTCTGATGCATCTAGTGAGATTCTGCAACTAGAAGAAGATGACTGTTTCAGATAGCTTTTAAATTCTAACAAATCTAGGTCACTGCACCCGATCAGCTTTTAATTTTTTAAGCCCAGCTATCTGCTCACAGAACGGAAGACAAGGCACCAGCTCTGAAGTCCCTGGATCTGAAGTAGCAGCAATAAGCTCTCCAGAGATCCCCAAACTCCCTAAATACCGTATTTCCAAAAAAACTAGTGCCATGTGCCACCTTGTGGGGAAACGAAGGAGCCTTCTCTGCTCCCTCACCATGGAGTGCACTGGAACTGGGAGACAAAAAGGCAAGGACCACCATGAACCCGGTGCTCCAGCTCTGTGGAGGGACTCCAAAACAACAACAGCAACCACAACACACATCTTTAAATCCCTAGCCAGGATTCAAAATACTGGCAGGAGCTGGTTTGTTTTACACTACTGGCTTCTCCTCGTGCTGTACTGCCAATTTCACCCATTCTAGGGCTTGCAGAAGACTATTTTGAGATTAATTACTGAACTCCAGTGCCAACCACATCTCATTCCAATTCAATTTATCACGTAGTAGCTCCACTGGAATACAGGAAGAGCTAGAATTTAAGAACACCCCAGTCCTTACCCAAAAAGCTTATCAGCTATGAATTACTCTGGTAAAAACTGCTGCACCTTCACTGTTTCATTAACACTGAGCCCAGTGGGGACCTAATTCTGTGACAGGTTGTTCGTCCTTCTGCTAATGCTCCCACAACAAAATAGCACCCACTGACCATGTGCTTTCACACACGCCAGTAACTCTGGCAATGCAGCATGAAGAGAGGAGTGCAGGACAGAAGAAAGGATGCCAGACTTGCAATATTTTTAACTTGCTTTATGATTGCACAAGGCTTTTCAAATCAAACAATCTGTCCTCTTGCTTGCAGACGTGTGTTAGTTACAGAGCGCAGGCTGCGATACCAGCTGGTGTTCCAAGCTAAGCCGCATTGGAAGGAGTCAGTGCTTCAGAGCGCATTGGGAAAGCCAGCACTGTGCCGAGCTGCCTAGCTTGGCTGGTGTTTTACCTCACGTTTGTTAACGTGGGGTGGTTCCTCAGGGCCTCTGCAAACGCCTTTGCTCCTTCGTCTCCAACTTGATTACCCCACAACCTGGTGGAGAGAGGAAACCAGGATGTATCAGGTGTGGTGCCCTACTGCCCCTCGGCACTGCATTTGCTGTTTTCTCTCTTCTCTCCTCTCCTTCTCATTACTGCAGAGACTTTCAGGCCTGTGAGAAATTTGGCACTTACCATCTCCCCTGAGCCGTGCGGGTTCCCTGCCTGCCACTGCAGGCACAATCAGCCTCTGCTGACTCACCAGCACCCTACCGGCACACAAGTTGCTCGAGGAGACAGCCTGCTGCACTGCGAGAGCTTTTAGGACCACTTTGCCCTGCAGGGCAAATCCTCTGCAGCCCTATACCCTTATGGGGTAAAGGATTCTGGACTGCATGCACACTGTGGTCCTGTGCAGTGTGAATATACACGGACCTACAACCCTATCATTTCCCTGCTCAGCGTTTCCTCCACATACCCCTGCTGCAGCTTTCCTGTTACTTGCCGGGCACGGACTGGCCTTTGCAGCGCAAGCTATGGGTCTGGGGAAAGACTCCCCAAGTGCACAACTGCACAAGGACCCATACCCAAACAGGTGACTTTCTGAAGTGAAGTGCTCTGTAAGCTCCCCTCCTCCTTCAGACTACTCAGGTAAAATTGTTATAATTCCTTCAGGGTTATACCCAAGGGCTATCTTCTCCCTTACCAGTTGCCAAGAGAGAAATCAAAATCTCACAGGGAGCGTATGACCCTGGGACTCTTTTGTGCGTTTGTAAGGAACAGTATTTCTCATGGGAAAGCAACCCTTGCTAACACAAAGCACTAGAAGAAGGTAATGTAAAATCTGCAGAGATTTGACCAACATTAACAAGAGGACCTGGTCAAATCCTTTCTGCTCAGATGACTGGGTTTGAAAATTCACTGTGTACTAAGAGGCTTGAAATGGCCTTTGCTGAGCTATAGCTAACTTTTTTTTTTTTAAACAGAGATCATGTCTTGATGACTCAGAGCCATATTCAGCTCGATGGGTAATTAGCTGGCAGCTGTTTTAAAATCAATTGAGCTTTGTGGTATCTAAACATCCATTTCCAGTAAGTAAGTCCCCCAGAATTTCCTTGTCCTTCAGACCCAGTACAGTTTTCCAGATAAAAACTGAACATTATCTGTGTAAATACGTCTGTCCATGCTATCCTAAATCCATTTGGAGTGATTATTTTCTCCAAAGCAGAAAAGAGAAGTTCTTCATGAAATTGCAGCAAGTATAAAGGAACAGCAGACCTAACTGCATGACAAGGGAAGTGTGCACGCTATTGACAATACTCGTGAAATGTTGTAGAATAAAAAAAATTAAAGGCCAAAAATCTGATTGTTCACATTTGATTTTGACATTTAAGAGTTATTGTGATATTTGCAATGGCCAAGCAGAGGTTTTAATTACATGTGCTCAAGTGTTCGATTCTTGAGAAGAATGTTCTCACGTATAGCAGAAAGAGAAGGAAAAAAACAAACATCAGACCTTCAAGTTTAGCATCTCGCCTAAGAAAGGAGATAGGGATTAAAGATTTAGAGGACATTAAGACCTCTCTCAAACAACTTTGCCACCAGACTTGGCAGTCTGATAGAGACTAGAGAGAAGGATAATGGGAATTCCTTCTTATTCTTACAGCTCTCAACTTTATCAGACCTTGATGTAGGAGATTTGACAATCTTAACCTTCACACTGAATAACTAGGTACATTGCAAGTAGTCATAAAGATCACTCAGACTTTTAAAAATGGATCAAATATCTTTAAAATGGCTGTGTTGTTGTAAGGAAAATGGCTGCCTTTACATTCTGTCCCCTCATCAATTTGTCTCACCTGTAAGGTTCTGTCAGAACAGGAAAAAAATTGACAGTGTGAACTGGAGAAGAAAAACAGCAAAACAGTCCTAGTTTTCCCTTTGAGTGAAAAATGTGGCTGTACTTCTGCAAGTTTGTTCTATTGCCACTGCGAGAAGGAAGGAATGGGAAAAGGAGGAAAGGTAAGAAAAAAAGTAGTAATCCTAAAGGATTTACAGATGCCTTGCCAAAACCAAGCCCTGAGCTCTGCCCCTTAGCACTGAACTTACCCAATTTCAAACATTGTCTTGCTCTTCTGGATGGCCTGGGCAAGGCACTTCCCTCCTTCGCTGGTTATTTTGTTTGCTCCTATTCTGCATGAAATATAGGAATTGATGAAGTACATCACTTGTAACAGTACAATTATTAGAACACCAGCTCAGAAAGTCATCAAAGCATTTAAGGCCAGTTAACTCTGGAGGCTAGGTACAGTTAGCCAAGATTAACCTCGAGTACAAAGTACTGCAGGCATCTGATCTTTTACGCTGCCTTTTAGGTATTTTGTGTGGAGTCTGCTTTCATGCATGTCAGCCCTCCAAATCAGAAGTACTACTGTAGACTCTTGTTTTTCGCTCTTTGTATGTCAGAAACGAGCCTTATGAATTGATCCTCAAGACAAGGAACCCTGCCTAATTTATACTGTAGTTTATAATATCACCAGTCACCACAGAGTACATGAATTACATACAGCATATTTCACGATGCCACAGGGACCAGAACATCTCTTGGCAGTGTGGCTCCAGAGGAGATTGCATCTGATAAGCACAGACTGTAATAATTTCATGTCTCTCTGTTCAATGTATAGGCTACAGGTGGTGACACAGGTCAGTGCAGTGGTGTCTCCAGCTGGCACCGTACAGACCACCACCTTCTCTTTCTTTGGCCTGTGTGGGGATATCAAATGACTGGAGTTCAAGAAAGGGATAAGCCTCAATTGTATTTGCATTGATGTAAAGAACAAACCAAAACCAACCCCCCCAGTCAACCCCCTACCTTCACATAAATCAAAACTCGCTTGTGTCACTGACTACAGACACGTGAACAGGCACTCTGTCTCAAAATAATCTCTGGGCTTAATATGTAACCTGAAAGTAACCATCCTTCAACAGGCTTTTTTGTGAAAGTTAGAAGACATTAAACAATGCACCAATACTGTGTCAAAGCAGTTAAAGAGCCACCAGAGTACTCCTGGGTTTCAAAACTCTGTATAAATATTTCAGATGGGAAGGATGTGGCTAGCGTGGGGTTTCAGAGCAAACTGGCCGTAAAACAAAGACCAGAACCCCAAAGTCCCTGGCTGCTCGTGCTGCATTCACACCAGCAGCTGACATCATTGCTGTAGTTGCCTCTATTTTCTGCTATGGACATAATCAAACCACTGGTTAATGATCTGCCTTTATGTCAAACCAGTGTGCGCATGGCTGGACACTCTAATCAGAGGAAGTTCCAGTAGTTAATGGGAACAACTTACAGAGTGAATTTGGGGAATTCCTAAACTGAGGTATTGCACTGGCAAAGCCTGATTCCAACGGCCCATAAAAGGTTGGATATAAAGAAGCCTGGTATTAGTTATGAGTGCATCTACCCTTTGCAAAGGCCTGCAAGGTTCATGCACCCTTTTAAGCCTCACTCAAGTGCTCTGACTGGAGTTAAGTGAAGAGCAGGTCCCGCACTCTCCTTTTGCTTACAACTACATTACACTCATAGTCCAAGCAATCTTTAGTAAAGATTATAGATTCAGGAGTTTCACCTGTGGCCATCGCTGCCAGACCATTGTAAAAGAGTACATAACTGCAACCTAAGCTATATTTTTATTTGAAATATAATATATTTCACTCTCTCTCCCTTTTAAGTTGTTTTACCTTAACTATGATACTGTAGAAGCATAAAGAAAAAAAAAACCCCAACATACTTAACATATTCAAGGCTTGAACATTCTTCAATTAGCTTTGCAACGTATTTGGCTCCAACATCAGTGATCTGATTGTTGTATAAGCTTAAAGAAAAATTACATTGGTAAAAGTAGATTATTCATGCTGTTACTTTAATATTTATATTCTGAATGTTTTATAATGCACACGCAGCATCTATCTTTTCTGTATGGCTCTGTACATATTCACAATTGCTTGCACTTCCATTTTGATGTAGAATTAATACTGTGAAGGGCTAGATATAAAATACAAGGAGACTAGACTCCAACGCAAGGGAAAATATTTAAAGCTTTTTCTTTTAATAAACAGTCTCCCCAGGCAAACAAAGCTTCCCTTTATTCCTGTGTTAGCAGAAATAATATTGCATAAGTCAGGAGAGAAGTCACCAAAAAAATCTTTTCAGTCTTTTAAAAATCATAAAATCCCCTTGCAAATATTACTGAAAATCCGATACCTTAGCACACACACTCACAGTAGGACACTGGAAGAAGGATGCGATTCTCAGTATCCATGTTAAATTTTCAAAAAGTCATTTTTATGCAGTCACTTAACTAAGCATGGGAATTCAGAACTAACAGGCCTACTAGCTTCTACTTGATGAAGAGCTCATTAAGGTCTTAAAAAAGCTGCTACTTTATACATGAAAAAACATGACTGCACAGAAGGGAACCATGAAAATGACACCCTGAAACATCACGTTTCTGATCCTCAGTCTCTACCAAACTGTATCGACTTCACATACTTGAAATAAATCAATTTACAGCAGCGAACGTGGAAGGCTCTAACTATAAAGCTGAGCATGCCCACGCAGTTCAGTAACCTGACAGTGATCTGCACTGTGTTACAGAATGGCTTGACATCAATGGCATACCATCCTGTGAGCCAATGTCATGGGAGAGGAAGCTGCAGGCCTTCTGCTGATAAGCTGTTACAGGACAGCAGATGAATCATGTCTGACACAAAATGCTGCCTTGCTTGTGTTCAGTAAACAAGGAGAAAACTTTGGTTTCCACCCTGCCTTTGCTGTGACAGCACAGTTAGCATTGTAGCTTCATTATCTAGTATCAGTATCTATGGTTTTGTTCCTAATTGGCACATACCCCAAGTAGGTCACAATTTGGTATTTGGAGAGCTCTTCATACAGGATCTTTACTCCATGATCTGTGATTTGATTTACACTGAGCCTGAAATTAGGGGAAAGAAAACAGAGTTTGAAGTCTGAATCAATACAGATTACAAGCTTTCATCACCCAAGAGTTAATGAATGACTGGAGGTCTGCACATTTCCCTCTGACATTTTAATAGGTCTTTATGCCACACATTAAAAGCTATTAAGAGAAACAGCTGAATAGGTGAACTCAGTTTTACATGGTTCACTTTAAAAACAAAACAGAAATCTCCAGATCTCCAAGGCAATGTTCTGGAAGCTGTCCATAGGACTGAAAACAAAATAATGCAATAGGTGAGAAACCAGAGACAAATACCCCATCCTTCTCCCAGGCTTACTGTGATTGCAGAAACAAATTCTAAACGGCATTCTAGCAAAAGCTAGTTTTTCAAACTCCCTTCTTGCAACCCTCTCTCTCAGTACCTAGTGAAAACCAGGCATCTTGAAGGTCACAACATATTCAGGCCCCACTGGATAAAGGCTGTAAAAATCTCTGGCCAGGAAATGGAACTGCAGTCCCAAGGGCGTGCTGAATGTTTCTGATGTTATTGTCCCAATCAGATACAAAACAAATCAGTATCAGTCATTCACAGAATAAAAACACTTCTTTTCACTTGGAAAAAAAAAAAAAAACTTCTAAAGCTTTTTCACCTTGGCTAAATGGACATGTTCCTATGAAACAGTTCAAGTCTGATGAATCATATTTTCCAGGAAAATTGTCCCAGTGGAAACATTTTGGCCAGCCTTAGTTTCAACACAAACTCTAAAGTTGAACATTCACTGTTGAGAGTTCCTTATCGGCAGCAACTTCCCTGGCTCTCTCTGGTTAGTAATTTGTGCACTAACATATGGGAGGAATCAGAGGCAACTTCCACGGATCAGAGCAGCCTGCTTCTTTAAAAGGGATGGATGGAGAAATTAGGTTAAACGGTAGAAACAACATTTTCTGTCCTGCAGAAATTGGTTGTTAGAAATGAAAGTCCTAACATCAGGAAGAGCCACAAAGATAAAAAGGAACAGACTAGTTTGGTACTGGAGATGGTGCTAAGCCCACATGCCATGATCATGGAACATGGAAGAGAATGAAAGACTGTAATTTTCTTCCATCTCTTACATACTTATGCCTTCCCCCCTCCCCAGGTTCTCATACTGCTTTCTCTTGGAAAGTCAGTTGTTTGCAATTAACTGGAAAAAAAACAGAGCCACTTGCTTTGATTTAGTCCTGAAAGGCTTGTAGAGGAAAAAAAGCAGAGCAGAGCCCATCAGGAGGAGTACGTCCAGTTTGAAAAGTTTCTCATGAGGCCGAACGGGGTTGTAGTAAATAAATTTTAAAGTTTAAAATTTGTATAAATATGTTTATTTATATTTTAGAATTTTATTTTAATTTTTAATTTTGTTTGTATTTATAATTTTGTAATTTCAAAAATAAACTAAAAATAAGATGCTTGAATTTTCTGGAGTTCTGCACCTGAATGTTTGGACAAACAAGGTATAGCTGCATGGCCCCAAAAGACTGTAGGTGGAAGAATCTGACCTGTGAGAGGTGGAGTTAGTTCTCCCTGATTACACCAGCCCATGGAAATATCACAACTTATACTTCGCCTGTATCCTTGATAGAGAACTCATGGTAGCTTTTGTTCTATCAAAGCCATACCGCCTGGCAGGATTGAAAAGCAAGAAACGCATAGCTTTTGATCAGGAGTTACTGTGAACGGTAGATCCTCTCTCACCCTGTCTGTCCAAGGCCACAGATAGACTCAGGCAGTCTTCAGGTAAAGTAGGAAGTTCTTTTTTTTTTTTTTTTTACAAAATATTTTGAGATGGAGCTAACTAAATCTACAGGTCTAAACAGTTCGGGCTTCTAAGGACTTCTTACCAAACTCTTCACCTGGGATTCAAAATTCACAGCTTGTCCCTGCTGCTGTAACTAGATGAACAAGTATTTCAAAAGATTTGAAACTGGCAGACTCTGGGATAGTCCAGCCTTTAATCCAAATTGTCCCACTTGCAGCTATTTCCAGCGTTTGTTTTCAAATCTTATGGCCAAATGCACTCTAATTCCCAGCAACAGTCAGACTCCCCATCTCTCTCATGCTTCAAGCTGACTTCCTCTAGCCCAGCAATCAGCTTGTGGAATAAAGCAAGGACAAGCAAGGACCTGCTTGCACAGAATCCTACCTGATCACTGCGAGTTTGCTGAAACAAGGTAGCAGCTGTTTTACTCCATAGTCATTGATGTTGTTGTTGTCCAAATCCAGAGCCAGGCGCTTTTGAAAGTGATGCATAACAAAAGAAATAGCACTGCAGTCAGCGGAGCAGGCATTGCAGTATGTGAGTTTGAGGTAATTGGCATGCATGTGTTTGGCAGCCAACTTCCCCACTTTCTCGCTTTGCGTCTCGTAAAGGCACCTCAGCATCCAGATGAAGTTGGGCTGGGCCTGAATCTGATTGTACTGTGGAAGCCTGGACCGAGAGAGACCTTTCAGGTGGGATTTCATGCTCTCCCCAAGGTATGTGATGAGTGTCTTTCTCTTCCTCTTAATGACTGCAGGCAGAACTAAATGTCTGAGGAGCTTTTGCTTGGATCTAGAAAGCAGGCCACAAAGAAAAAGGTTGGTAAAATGAAAATGTTCATTATTTCGGAAAGGATCCTCCCCTGTCAGTTGTCTTCTGAACCAAGGAATATGAAGGCAAGTAGACTGTGAAGTCTCAGTGGAAGAGCACTCATTGAAAAACTCAAGTAACTGCTTGGTACCCACTTTCTCTTCAATAACTAGGAACAAAGCTGTGAAAAAAGACTGAAGGGTTAAGTGCAAGTACTCGTAAGTGGACTGATCTTCACAGCCGCTATAACCTTGAACTGTCCTGAGAAAGCCCAACTGCAAATCCTCTTCAGAGATGTTCACTGATGAGACCTCCTCCTGCTCAAAGATAAACAAAGAGTTCTCTATCCCTTTGTATGCCATTTTACCCAAAGCTAGAAGAGTTTCCTTTCTTGATTTGAACGTCTCTGCTTGGCTCCTGGTGTTGTTCTTCAGCAAACTTGTTTTCAGAGATCGGTTCAGATGAACTTCAATCAGGACCAAAAATACATCTGTCAATGTAACTGAACAGTCTGGAAGTTCATGGCTGTCAAACATGGAATGGAAGTGTTCATAGCATTTAAAGATAATCCAGCAAAATAAAGGCACTGAACACAAACTGCAGAGATTGGGGTTAGCTTCCAACTGGTTCAACACCAGTGTTCGTTGCCCTTCATCTTTGAAAAACATGGCAGTGTATTCCTTCAGGTTACTGCTGGAGAATCCACGGAGCAACACTTTCTTTCTAATGATGTTTCTTTGGATCTCAGTTCCTGTTCTCGCTGTAAGAATTTTCCTGGATCCCTTCAGAAGCTTTCCCCTGAGAAGGCTTACCAGCAGCACCAGGGGGTGGATCGGTTCGTTGGGCGAGCACATCTCGGGAACGCTACTGAGATCAAAGTTAGAATAGATCTCATCAAAGCCGTCAAATGTGAAAAGAACTGTATGAGGAAACTGCAAGATGTGATGAAACACCTCTGTGAGGTCCTGGTCTGGGTAGCAATTATATTTGAACAAAAGGTCTTTCAAACATATGGCTTCATTTTCTTTAAAGCAGCTAAACATCCTGCATCGAAAACGGAAAAAAAATTTGGCCCCTATATCCAACTTTTGTCTGGCCCAAAGACTTTGTATCTTTTGCAGCAAGATGGATTTTCCAATTCCTGCATCCCCGAAGACATAAACAGTTTCTCCATCTTCATTAATTAGCCCAACTGTATCATCAAAAAGGGCCTCCAATTGAGACACGTTGCCTAGACTCTCATTGGTAAAACTGACCAGCTCCATAATATTATTGGAGTAGATTTCGTCAAGCAGCATCTCTTCCTTCTGAGCATACGACATAACAAACTTTGAGTCCCGTCCCAGTTCATATCTGAGTTTCTGACAATACCTGCTAACTAAAAAGACAGTGAACTATTATTAAAAAGAGACCAAAGCCTATAGTATAGGACCATCTCTTTCGGAACTGAAAGGGAGTGATAAGCTAAAATAATTCTTATGTAAAACTGCCTCTTTGGCAGATTACTGCTATTTCCTTACGCTGCCATCATTAAACCTTATATAACAAACAACGTTGTATGGTAAGTATTCTCACAGGAGACTGTCTTGGAAAACTCAGATGCTAATGAAAGAGGTACAGGTGAGTCACCATTTCCTGGAAGCCAGTACCAACCTCAAGGCATTGCATTGCATTAAGGAGCTGCTCTTAAGCTGAGGCCCTGACCTCCTTGTTAAAGACTCTATCTTACTTTCTGCAAAGGTAGGCCACAGATGAGTGCCACGGGTTACTGGCATCTGCCTTCTTGCTCTAAATAAAGCCTACCTGCTGTTTCTAAGGGGTAGGTGGTTATTCACTCCTACCTTGTTTGGTAATTTTTATTTTTGCAAATAAAACGCATGTGTTTTAGAACCCAGGCCCCAGGCACTTCAAAAGACTTTTTTAAGGTGGTACAAAAGTGCAATGTTAGCATGTGCTTTTATTCCAACAGAATCTTCACTTCAGATAGGGGCAAAGTGATTCTTGTATTTATATAGCATGAAAAATCCTCTTGAGAGAAAGATACGTATTCCTGCAACATTTTAATTCTTAATATTTTAATTCTTATAACTCAAAATCTCTTCTAGGAGCATAGACTAATTCAGGCTGGAAGGTACTTCAGAAAGTCTCTGGTCCAACCTCCTGCACAAAGCTGGGTCAGCTACCACATCAGACTAGGGCTTTATCTACACATCAGGGCTTTATCTAGACAGGTCTTAAAAACCTCCAAGGATGGAGCCTGCAGAGCCTCTCTGGGAAACCTGCTTCATTGCTTGACTGTGCTCATGGTGAAATATTGGCTATTCCATCGCCAAACCATCACTGTGTTGTTAATACACCATAGTAAACCTCTAGACAATACTACGACACGCACAAGGTAGAAACACCATTATATCCACAAACAAATAAAGAAAGAGCTTGACTTGCGCAAAACAGGAGATAATATATCAATGTGACTGTTATGTTATACAGTGGATTCTGTGCCTTTTAATTATTTGGCTATGACAGCTAGAAAATAGAGCATAAGCACATTTATTTTCTCTGGCTTGTGCCTCCCTAGACTCTCTTATCCTTCCATCACCTGGTTAGAGTTTCCCACATAGCAGGGTAGTTCAAAAGAAAGGGATATAGCTGCATGTCCTTACCTGGATCTGTATTTTCCACAGCTTTACTACGAATATTCTCTGAAGGCTGGTAACCTATTTCACCCAACCAAGGCTGAAGTTCATAGTAAGCATCAATGACTTTCTGCAGGACATGGATGAAATATTCTGAAACTTCTTCTCCCTTGCTTTGAACCAAGTCTAGAATTTTGCGAACCTGAAGAAACACCATGTAAAAGGTCGTTGATGCACAGCATTTTATCGCAGTTACACTTCCAGACTGCTTTAGGATCCTTTTCGGGTAGGAACAGGGGACTGGAATCAAAACTGGTACTTCAAAAAATTGAATTCAAAATCCAGTTCTAGTTCTAGTTGAACCATTGTAAAAATCACTTCCTGTTTGTATGGATGTTGCAAGAAAGTCACTTCTGCAGGTTAAGGTCTGAACTAGTAGCTAAATGCATATGCTAACCACAAAGAAAACGAATAAATATTGCTCCTCAGTAGGGATCCCAAAGGATTTCCCCAGCCTGGCTGGACACCGCAGCTAGAAAGTATATTTTAAATCTCATGCTAGTTAAAATAAAAAGAAAGGGGTGGTTTGTCAGTGCCCTAAATTCATCCTCTGACTTGTGAGCATCCTAGGCACATTAAGGTTTACCTTAGGGTCCAGCCAGACCCAGAGCAGACAGACAGAATGCCCTTTCTCTGGATCTTAATGCAGATCTGGACACCTACAAATTCTTTTCTTTTTCTTTTTTTTTTTTTTTTTGAAAAACACAGCAATTCAATGCTGCAGGTTCTCTCTACTATGACGGACTTATTGCCCGCCATCATTACCAAAACTAATGGTACTAGACAGTAGCTGAAGCAGCTTGGAGCTAACTCACTACCTCTAGAAGCAAGGAAGAGTCTGATCTCTGTGCAGCTAGTATATGACAACCCTCTACAGGACAGAGCAATCATCTGGGGGACCTATTTTGAATGGCTGGATCCTCTTCTTGCTGCAAATTAATCAAGAATTCACTTCTGAAGCAGACACAGGGTTTCCAGAGACTATGGTCTCTTGGAAATTTAAAGCAGGATGAAGCACTCATGGCACAGATTTAAAAAAAAAAAAAAAAAAAAAAAGGTATTTTTGGACAATTTCTATGCTCTTAAAAGCAAATATATGCCTTCCAGAGAAGCTCCCACCGGGTCCACTTCACTTCATTGTGACTTGCTCTCTGCCTCTGCTTAGACTCCTAATGCATGGCCTCCCATATATAACACAGACTCCAATATAACACAGACTGAAAAAGACATTAGAGGTCAAATTGCCAGATAAGCCCACAAAACCCAGGAGTAAGTTGAAAGTAGCAAAACAACACTCAAGCTGGGCTGGTGAAATAAAAAGAATACCTTATCTGCTTGAGTTGGAAACTGGGCAACAATCTCTGCATCTTCAGTGGAGAAGTAGTCATTCTTGATCAAGTTGTCAATCAAACACTGCGTGTTTCGGATTTTAGTGACCAAAAGTTCTCGGTATACTTTCAGCAAAGCAATGCAGGACAGAGGACTTGCCGTTAAAGGTTTTACCCCAGAAATCTCCGAGTTAGCACAATGCTGGCCTTCCATAGCTGAGATAGCAAGAGACTGCTCCGTCTAGCCTCATCTTTGACAAACTGTCCATTTGCAGCGTGGAATCAGCTTGGAGTTAATTCCAGTGAAACAGGCAATTTGTCCTTCACGCTACCAAGACTGTAAAAAGTAATTGTACAGAACCTCAGTTTAGACATTATCTAAGGATGCAGATACATCCTTCGACTAGCAATCAAACAATACTTCCAGTCTCTGCATAGTACCATTGCCAACTTTATTCAGAAAGATTCTGATTTCTTCCTCAGGTACTTCCATTTATTTGTTCAGATTTTGGAAAAAACATACCGACTGCAGGCAGTCTCCTCTGTAATACAAATACTTTACTCAGCTTGCCTCAAACAACACTGGCATCTGCTTTATTAGCTGCCTGTTCTTAGTGCATAATTGAATGGTTTTTATTAGCTTTTCATGTTTCAATAGACAAAACGTGGCACATGTCCAAACATATCTGGACAAGGAAATAAATGGAATAAAACTGTATTTCTTAGCATTTAATTCTGTAGGAATTAATTTACAGTAGCAATTCACTTTGCTTCTTCCTTATTACAACAACAGTGACTGTGTAAAATTTTGCCAATAGGATAACTGTCCCTGTAAGTGTGGCCTTGTGAACTCTGAGACTGTTTTAGCTAAACTAAGAAAGAGCATTTAGCTTCAGGGCAGGCTTGAGAGGCAGTATGAGACTATGGGAAAACCACTGATCAGATGCTGCTGTTAAGGGGGCCAAGAGCGAAATGACACTAACAGTGAAAATACTGCTGCAGATTTCAGAGCTAAAACACCGCTTACGGGCACAGAGCACTTCATACCTTTTACAGCTACTGTCTCATTATGTAAAACAGGGAAAATGCCACTGCATTGGTTTAATTTGGTTAATTTTAATCAAAGTTAGAGCTGGAATTATAGCTTTTCCGGATCTGAAAAACAACAACGTTATGGCAAGGACTGCAATTAGTGATTGTAAATATGTTAAGATCTCATCTCTAGGGATTCACAAAAAAAACAGGACCTCTACTTGAGCAGGAATTGCATAAAACAGCTAAATTTAGAGGCGTTTTCCCCATGTGATAAACTAGGCCTGGAAGATGGCATGACAATTCATATTCATTACTGGACTGGGCATCCAACCCACCTCGGTCTTCATAAAGGAAGGAGACTGTGCACAATACAGCTTGTAACGAAGACATCAATTTGAAATCTGTGCAAAACAGTTATGCTTGAACGCCTAATCTCAGCCCATGTATCCGCATCCAGAGACCCAACACGATGATTAATTCAGACATCTGTGCGCTCAGGAAACCCCCTCACTGCCGTAGAGATGTTGTTTAGAAATGGTACTCTTTAGCACGAATGCTCTCTTCTCGTCTACAAATATATACACTGTGTATGCCCTCGTTCTCTGTACCAGCTCTTGGGAGCTCTTTTTAACCGGCCATTTATTGTCATTTTTCTCTCAAAGGCATAAAGCAGTAGGAACAAGGAATAGAGATCCCTCTCTAGTGTATTACTGAACAGTTTTTTTGAATTCTAGTCAATATAACCACAGAGTAGGCACGAAGTTTTATTGTAATTGCAATTCAAAATGATATTCACTTAGTTACTATTTAGGTACAGACCCCACACATGTGATTTCCCATGCACGAAGGAGACTTTTTACAAGACTATTACTGAATCACCTCCACATAGCAATGGACAATTTGCATGAATAACACGAATTATTGGCACACTACAGTAACAGGGTGAAAAGTACAGTTGATGCAGCAGGTCCAGGGAGGTTCGGAAGAACGTTCTTAGATTCTGAATTACAGCCATATTAAAAAAAGAAGCCATTCTTCAAGAACTCTGTAAAGGTGCCAGCTCTGCTGCTTCAAAACGCTTGCAATTTCCCAAGACATTTACGGTACTGGCAAGCTTTCCAAACCCTCTCCAGCGCTGTCCTGACAAAGCACAGCTATAGCCTCCCAGCTCAGAGGTTCTTCTAGGTGACCTCCTACTGGCACAAACGCGTCACTACGGGGTCTTCACACCAAAAGCTGCAGTCTGCATTGGTGCAGTTTGTGCTGCTTGAAGCTGGAGGAAGAGGCAATTTGTGCTATCGCGTTTTAGTGACATGGCCTATCTATCGACACTAATTACCGCAGTGCAAACCAGCCTAGCTCATCTGATTTCAAGGAACCAATAGGTCCTAACTTATAGCTGCTGATCTGCACAGATAAAGATAACCACATTGAGAAATGAGCCTTCAGATGGTTGTGACCAGGCAAATCCCTAGCACAACCATTTTGGATCAAAGCCAACTCAACAACTGCAAAACTCCTTTAACTGAATGGAATGTAACCAAGTGACCTGACTTTCTCATCACATGAATAAGTGACTGCATGTACTCAGACAAATCAATCTTTCATTACACTATTCACATGACCCACCAGATGAAGTGGCTGATTTCTGAGTCACTCGGCTTCCTAGAAGCCACACAGGCATATCTCTGTTCAAGAAAGCTCATTTCATAAATGAACTCTATCATGAAGACCATTTTCAAACCATTTTGAAAATGTCATTTGCTCTAAAGCTTTTGCTAGCTTTTAATTAAAGAGATATGGTCACCTTAAAACACGAGCAAAAGAAATATTAACCCTTTTCTTTCAAGATACTGTGTCTACTCAACATTTCCTGCTTGCTTCTGTCGTTCTAGGACCACATTATACTAATGCACTTTTTTCTTCCTGGTTTGTGGGGAAAACTGAAGCAAACATCCAGGAAACCATAGTATTGAACCAAAGTGGTGTCACCTGTACAAAATAAACAGAAATATTTTCTTTCAAGCCCACCTACAAAGAGGGTAAGAAAAGAAGCAAGAAATAAAGCAAAAAGACAAGAAAAAAAAAAACATAGGAAGACCAGAAGGTCTCAGAGATGCCTGCACTACATCTAACTACGTCCAAGTCAGTAGATAATTTCGTTGCTCTTGGAAGGGGTGTGCATATGTGTGTTGCAAGAGAGCACATTCTCTTCCATACAACGTGATCTGAAAACAGTGGAGAAACGAGAGAGTAATCAGAGAAGAATATAAGGTGAAGCTAAGCATCAGGTGAGAGAAGGAGAAAGACCAAAAATGCAGAGCAGGGAAGTCAGAGCTGGTAACGTGAAGTCAGCGCACGATGACGTACTCAGTGATATTTTCAGAGGCAATATTAACTTTGAGAGAAAAAGAACACTCTATATTGGAGAAAACAGTAATTTGCACCCATTTCTTCTAACGCGAAAAATGGGAGATTTCCACCATCCACAGACTGAGGAAAAGTCACATTGGATGAGTGACTAACGTGTTAAATAAAGTTGGAACAAAAAGACTTCCCGTCACATGCAGTTAATAGCAAGGCAGGTACATGCATGTTCGTAGCAAACTGCATCAGCGCATAAAGAAACTTCAGGTCCTACTCAGGCAAAAGTAACACAAAACTTTTCTACAGAAGCAACCCTAGGGGCAACAGTACCTACAAGCCCTGCTCAGTGTAAGAAACACGTTGAGATAGCTTTGCTTATTCTCTTGAAAAAAGGCAGGCATTGTCCGGAAGATTCTGACATAAAACGATTCACTTTTGCTAGCTTCATTTTTTCAAAACACAAGTCCAGCGTGTTGGCATCATGAGGACTCTAACTTATCCATTTGTCCATCATCTCTTTCTCTGGAGAGAGTCCCATAGCGGTTTACCCTGAGTCTTCTGAGTGATGGATCACACGATTGCAACGTACTCAGTCTCTTATTACAACGATCTCTGTGTTACAATGCTAGGTTACGCACATGCTATGCTTAAAGGCGAACTGTAACTGCTTATGCAGCATATCGATACATGTTGAAAGCATTTGCTTGGTGGACCATGAAGTGTATATGATGTTCTTTCCCTTATCTTGGCCACTCCAGTTGCTGGATTCAATTCCAGTGCAATTCTTGTGATTGACATAGCATCAGTCATGAGAACACTTGTAGAAAAGACTAGGGCATACATTAATGCAAGATCAGTGCACTGACCAGAGTCTAAAGACATCTACTGTTGAGAACTACTGCCTCTTTTAACAACTGTTACATTTCTGAAAGGCTTAGTGAATAAAATCATGTTTTGAATGCCACCTTGAGCCTTTTAGGCTCCTTCTGAAGGCATCACTAAGTCAATACAAAGGGAGATCACCTGCTCTAACAGCAACAGCTTGTTAATATATCTATTCATAGAAATGAATATTAGCACGGAGGTATGGAGGTAGAGTATGCAGCTGACAGGCTACAATATGGGGAGAAAGGGAAAATTTCATAAGCCTTATACAGCAGCTGAAAGGGCAGAAGACCGAAGGAGGAATGCAGAGAAACGATACCTGGATGAAGCAGGAGTGTAGTATGAGGAGATAAGGGGACAGAAACTTATAGTGGAAACCTTCTCTGGGAACAGCAGGGATATGCTGTTGACTTGGGGAGAAATAAAAATAATGGCTTACTCCAGGGCCTGTCAGAGTTACTGGAGAGGGAATACGGTCACCCTCTCTGAGGAGAGCAGTTTCAGTCAAGTGAAGACGACAGAAAACAGATTACCAGGAATTAAAAAGAACTAGAGAGCGGAGTGCTCACCCAGCAATTGTGAAGGCAAAGAGGAGACAGACAACAGCCCTGGACAAGTGACGTGTCAATGGGGATTTGAAGAATATGAAAAGCAATAGCAAAACTGGCAAAGAGAGGCATATGATAAGCCTGCATAACTGAGAATAACAAAGAGGAAGTAAGATGGGTATCGGGCCAGGCATAAGGAGGGAAATGAAAAAGGGAAATGAAATTTGTAATAGTAAGAGGTACAGCAAAAGCATCGGTGCTTACAGTAAGGTTTTGTATAATCCATGTCAATAAACTGCAGAGGCACTGATGGCAAAAGGCCATGGCACTTTTATCTAGTGGTTCTACTGACTTCCCCGTTTTAAAATCCTCAGTGTTGTGCAACCATATACACACTTAACATACTTTCTGGCCCTGCCCTTCTCGCATCCTCTTTTTGCTAAGATAACCACGTTCTCCTTCTATTACAACTCCTATGCCTGTTCAACTGCCAGAGCTGCAAGTCTTCTGGCAGTGAGGAATATACTAGTTTACGGGTAGCGCTAATATTTATCACAGCGGACCTAATTACTGAGGACCTAAATGTATATGTGGTACATAAAGGGGCTGAAGGGTCTTAGGCCAGCTAAAAAACATCTCCACGTTTGAGTAAACCAAAAAATTAACTCGTCACTGAGCTGGCTGCTCCCAAAGAGACTGTGTGAGATGCAGCTGTAAATCCAATAAAAAGTGCAAGTTAATTAACAACTCTCCTTTAAAGCATCCGATTGAAGACCAAACCGGAATATCTCTGAAAAGCTGAAAACTCAGCCTATATTACTTCTTCTCTAGTCTTCCTATCCTGACAAAAACTGTTCCTCTAAATTCCCTGTGAAGAGAAGCCCTATGCCACATAACTAGCTATCAGCCGACAGCTGGCATATCTTCACAATTTTCACAGCACCTTGTAGCCAGCTCTCGCAAGGATGACAGCTCAGCACGTGCATAAATCCCAGTGCCAGCCCAGGACGAGTGGAGTCTTTCAGAGACTCTCACGTATCTGTTGGTGTAGCCTTCTAACAGCAATATTCAAAGTGCAATTACTCTTAAAGAGGTGGCTATATTAAAACCGTGCTCTTTCACATCAAAATCTGTGCCCTTTGTGTCTCCAAGTCAGATTGGTTCCCTGACAAGAGCTATTTTTCAGTGCTAACCCTCCCACTGCAGAGTCATTATTACGGCAAGGGGAGAACTGGAGAGCTTGCCATGCTTTTTCATTAATAGCAGCACTTTAGGCTCAGGCCAGCCTAAACTCAACTATTTGCTATCACTAGAAGAGACAGAAGAGAGACTGATTTTTCACATCCAAATTGACGCGTGCCACAGCAGGCAGTCCTTTAATATAGCAAATAAATAAGAGGGACTGTATTTCCCCACAGCATTAGTTTCAGACAGTTATTGTTTCTAACTCTACTCTCACTTTTAAAAGAACCTCAAGTATCTTAGATAGTACAAGAACAGTAAAACAACAGATAGACATCGGAGGCAATTGGGGACATATATCTACATGAAAAGTCTGCATGTCTCGATGAGAAGGGATGCAGTGCATTTCCCAGAGATAAGAAAAAATAGCCTTTTATTTTTATAGCACCAATGGTGCATTAGTAGAGTTTGCACAGAGTCCCTGCATGTCTTAATGATCTTAAATGATATTCTGTATCTGCTGTTAAAGTGCATTTATCGTAGCCCAGTTTACAATGTCAGTTATCTATTATAATTGATGCTGCTCATGTCAATAAATGTCCTGGGAGCCATACATTAACTTCACACTACCGTAAATCCATTACAACTCCTGTGGTTTTGCATTGCTCTGGGGTCACCGAGATCAGCATCTTTCTGTGATATTTTTCTCTCTCCTCTGATTGCAGCAAAAGCTTTTGTAGCCATTCTTAGTTGTCTGAGAAGCAACAGATATAAAAGAACACAGAAGAAACTATTTCTGCCTGCACCTGGTAGACTGACAAGCTTTTGTATAAAAGGCCCATGCTTTTGAACAAATATTCATATCCTTGGCAGGTTCTGCTGCTACATTTCCTAATAGGATACTTTTAACCAAATGGAGCCTTACATTCCAGATCTGGATGAATTAGCAAATCACTGTTAAAAGATTTCATGTGGCTTCCCGATAACTCCTTTTGGGTTGGTTTCAGGAGAACATTTAATAGGAAGGAGCCAGTACTAAAAAACAAAGAAATTACCTTCCATCAGAGAGGTCTTGCATTTTTTTTTTTCTGGAGAAGAACAGAGAGAGGAACAATTTCATAGTTGAAATTGTTGCTTTTAGATAGTGTATCTAAAAGCAGAACTGCTTTTCTACTACTTGAGCTTTCCACTCGCACTGAATTCTCTAATTAAAGCTGTAAAAAAGTAACTGTTTGAATTGCATATTGACAGCTCCGCTCATCCTACTTCCCAAGATCTGTTCCGGCCGTTAACAAGCAAAAACCCCATCAGTCCCAGGCATCCCACCCGCGCAACACCGTCCCCCCGCTGCACCTGCGCCTCCCATCCATCCGGCAAAACGGGATCCTGCCTGCGGACCATCCAAAAAAACGTGCCCCGCAGGTCCTTCCCCCCGATAACAACAAACCGGCCTGGAGGAGCAACCACCGTCCTGGCATGCCTCCTCCCCAGCCACGGAGCCCCAACTCCGTCCCTTCAGGTAAGAGTGAGCTAAAAACCTCCTGCCTTCCCCCCCACCCCAAGCCGGCAGCTTTTTGTATGCCTGTAAGCAAAGCCCTGGGGCCTAAACGGTCACAGGCCATTTCTCTGCAAGCCGGGTCATATACACAGATTTACAGACGAGTTTTACGTGTCTGGCTTTTTTTTTTTTTTACCTGTTGCTCAAGGAA